CTAGGTCCTCTCTCACCACTGATGTTTTTTCCCTCACCCAGTTTCGCTTCTTGCACGGATCCTCCTTTCGATGACTTCAGCTTATTCCTCCTCTCCTCCTCACTGCACTACCATGGATTTGTGCGTCGGCCTCCGTCCACTCCCCTGGCGCCGTGTCCACTCATCGTCCATTCGCTGCTCTAGCCATCTAGCTAGGGGGGGGAGCGAATGCTGCTAGGCAGGCAGGGGCTGCTGGATGCGTTGTTCCAGGAAGAGCTGGCTGCGTCGCAGCCTGTTTCTCTCGGCGTGGTGCGCTCTCTGCTCCGGATTGTCTGCTGCCGTGCTCTCGCCGAGAGGGGCTCCAATCCACTGGTTGTGCGGAACGAGGCCGATAGGTCTCGGCAGAGGGGACCGCTCATAAACTTACCTGGCTGGGAGGATCTCGCGATCACGAAGGCGGGACCTCCACGGTGAGGCTTAGCCATTGCACTTTCGGTCAGGCTGACCCGTGTGGCTATCCCGAGTTGGGATCAGCCAACAGCAAAATTTTTGCGTTTGGGGACAGCGTTCGCGCTTCCCCGCTATAAATACGAAACATTGGCGTAGTGAACGATGTTCACTACGATATATTGGATGGTACATGGAAGTGATTCCGCACGGGTCCGCGGTGCTTGGTATCCAAACCCCTCGATCTCATGGTGCACCGCTCACGCCGGGCCTATGGTACCCAGCTGGTAGCACTGGCCGGCCGGAAGTGGGTGCCCGTATTCCAATGTCCAGTGCGCCTGTAAGGCCGGACGATGATGGCCTAAGTCACACAGATAACCCTATAATGCTGTAGATGCAGTAGGAGCTAGGGTTCCGCCTTGTGTCTTTTACTAAGCCTATGCCCGATACATCCGGTGGGGTGCGGTACCACTTTGTAGGTTGTTTTGACCAATGCTGCATCGTCTGGTGGTGGTGGTGGTGGTCACTGTGCTGGCCAAATGACCCTTCGGTTTTTCTCCTCAAATTCGAGTCTACTTTAAAAAAAAAATTTTTTTTTTTAAATTTTTGTTTAGTTTAGTGTAAAATTTATTTGTATCGTTTAGTATAAAAACTTATATCGTTTAATTTGTATTTAAAGCATGTAGCTTACTATCAGTCAGTCGATATGGGTACCCCATGTTAATGTGATGTCGCCTGAAATAGCTGCACAAGCTGTTGCGCTTAGCTTATTGGACCCTCAACTAGTATTTTAGCAATGCCTGCTCTTGTTTTTATATAGGAGCCATATTTTGCACATATGCTTATTTCACAACCACAAAAATTTTATTACAGTGTCTCGTCATTGTGGTCTAATGTGCTTTGGGGTGCGGTTTAATCTGTGTTTAGTTATCTTGAACTACTTATGCGATTCAGCTACTTATGCGTTTCAGGTAATTTGTGAGTATTTTGATGAATAAAATACAATGAACAGAGATCATATCCCCCTCCCCCGCCTCGTTTCCTTGGGGTGATATTTGTTATGCCACTACTTTTTATCACAAGTCCTTCAATAAAACCTTAACATGGCAGAAAAATACAGAGGTTTTTGTCTGTTTGAGGTACCACTGAAAAATCAGAGAGAGAGTGAGAGAGAGAGTGCGGTACTTCAAAAAATATCCCAAAAGTGAATATCTTTTTCGGTTAATATAGCTTTACCAAAAATTACAAGGCCTGTTCAGGCTAACACTTTACAGTAGCAGAGCTGAAGGGTGGAAATGGATGTCGGATAACAAATCAAACAGATATGGAGAACATTTGTAACAATACAAGGTATGAAAAAATCAAAAAAAGTACTTAATCAAGTTTTGGAAATATCAAAATGTTTGTCAATTGCATAAAAAGGTTAAATACCCCAGCAAAAGAGGCAAATACGAACAAAGACCACAATCGTAACACTGGCAATGCATCGTCAGCTAAAAATACAACGCCGCGCAGTTCCCCTAACACAACATCCGGGTACTTTACGCCAAATTAGGCCCTGAAGCGGCGACTGAGAGAATGGCACCAGTACTCACTTCACCCCCAGCAACAACAGTCAGACCATCATGGGGCACTGCTCGATGTACGGAGTGGTCAAGCACGTGTAATCCCTCTCCAGAAGCCACCAGACACACAGATTGGCGGGGAAGCGCGGACGCTTTCCCCAAAACGCAAAAATTACGCTGCTGGCCAACCCCGACTTGGGGTTGCCACACGGGTCAGCCCGACCGAGAAGTGCAATGACCGAGCCTCACCATGGAGGTCCCGCCTTCGTGATCGCGAGATGCCTCTCAGCAAGGTTAGTTTATGAGCGGTCGAAATCATCCGGTTCAAGCGAACACGCATCCAACTTCCACCGGATTGCTCTGTACATTCGGGCAGCATCACATCCAGACGGTTAGAGGACGCACTCTCGTCGCCGTTGCTGCCCGTGCTATAATTTGAAGAAAAGTGCTGCCCCTGCTCCCTCTGATGACGCTTACAATTTAAGCAAAATTTGCTCCAAAAATTTATGTAAAATTTTTTGTATCAAAAAGAAACACAAAAGGAAGAACGAGGGGCAGCGCCCCACAGCTAATATGCAAATTAGCTCCCCGAGGAAAATGCCTTAAAATGCATACAGAAGGATGGAGCTCGCTCGGCTAAAACAACCAAGTTGATTGCAGTACGCGGGGGAGGTAGAAAAAAAATATATTGGCTAAGA